TTTATAAAAGTTTTTCTGCAAAAATATCTTTTATCTCTTAGATAAGTATCTAGAAGTGGAATTGATGATTCTATGGTTTCAAATTATGGGTACTTATCTTGAAAATAAATTGTCAAATTGCTTGACAAAATGGTTGAACAAGTTGTTTCCACCAGAATTTGTTATGGTTTCTGGTCTCCATATTACAATAACAATTCAAATCTTAAATATACAATGTTAGAAAGATTTTGACATTTAAGGGTGGCATAAATTACATAAATATTCATGATAGGGAAATCTTTAGATATATTTGGTTAGTCCACAAATGCATACATACTCATTTCAGTGGAAATGTCTACCTGCTTAATTGCCATATTGAATATTATTTGGACACATGCAAAAGCCATCTTGATATTTTTGTATGTCCTTATAATTTTAAAATTGCCCATTTGTTTTTGTTTTTCGAGTACTCCTTAAGTCATATTTATATTTTTATCTAGTGTATTTGTCTGTTTTATTCGAATTCATCAAAACGTCTTCTAAACATTAGCATTTTCATCTCTAGGTGCAAAATGAATTGAACATAAGCTTAAAACGACATTACTTTGTCTTCAATTTTTTGTCCTGATAGCTTGTAAAAGCCATTTTAAAATTTTAAAAATTTGGAATTTGGTAAATCTATGAAATTTTTATCATCAACTTATTCTTGAATGCATTAATTGCAATTCATATGTATCTCCAAAGTTTGGAAACTTTAAGGATGAGAAAATTATCTTTGATATCCATAATTACTATACTACTATTATATTCAAAGTGTTAGTGGCTCCCCAGTGCCCTGTTATACACTGGGAAATAGACAGCGTTTGCTGCCCACAAAGGTGTGCCTGGGCTTAATTCTCTTGAGAGATTTTCCTGTGTCTCGACACACTGATTTGGAAAAGATTACTGAAAACTGCCATGAAATTCTCCAAAAGCCCCACATTGCTGATATCTTGTTAACCTTTTCAGAAATATGGAATTGAGTGATACAAAGATTTTTGCTTTCAAATTTCTTAGTTGTGACAAATATATGAAGAATTAATAGAACCTTTTAAAGGTTACTGGGACAGTAATAGGAAGATAGTGAAGCAATACAAGCAAAGCATTTCACTTTGAATGGTGATTAATAGAGATGACTAGGAAATGGTTTTAGAATAAAGTATGAAAAAGTGTTGGTATATTGTGATGGTAACTTAGCTTGAGCAACTTTTATATTGTTGTAAGAAGTACCTGCAAGTTTATTTATCTGAAATAAAACAATGTGTTAGACATGAAAATAAAATATTTTAAAAATGACATGTATAGTGTACAGTCTTTCTGGTTGTTAATGTGCATATTATACCACTTTTTGATTTTCAGTATAATCTGCAAATTATTAATGAGAAATATATTTAAATTAATTGTTCATGTTTTTGAAGTATGGAAACCCCGCATAGAATTTAGGTAATATTCCTAATTACAACAGAAACAAGGTAAGAATCATTGGAATATTAGCTTTCATCTGTATTATAATATAGTATAAACACATCTGTAGGTAAGTTCAAATATTAAAAGACCATTTATTTAGTTTAGAGTTTAGTATTAAATGAAGATGTTATTCTTCCAAGATGTTTACTTCTAATTTACTTAATGACTTTAGCACCTGTGGCTGAGAGGAGTTTGTAAGTGGTAGAAGAGGTTCCAGAAAGTTCTGACAAAGACGACCTACAGAGCTGTGCATGAATCCTCCCCGCTCTCATTCACTTTGCCAGTTACGATAAATCACATTTATATTCTATTTTCTTCAGTCATTAAACAAGTGTTTGTGGAGTACCTAAGGTGTACCTGTCTTTATTCTACAGGCTTTGGATCTAGACTAGATCCAAGTGTGGAAATGACTCTTTTTTATTTTAAAGAGAAAAGAACAAAATCAAAACAACACAAAAACTATAAAAATATTGTATAGAATGTCAAAACAAGATGATAGGAAATCTGCAATCTTTGTTACATTACTTATTGTCATCTTCAAAGTAGTTGCTCAGGTTACAATATATACGCATGCAAACTTGATCAAACAAACATTAACGGTTCCTTTGAATAACTAATAGAAATTAGTAGTACAATTATCTTAGCTATCTTCTGTATGTGCTTCTCTCT